CCCGCTCCCACCACTGAGCAAAAGCATAACCCCCCTCACCCTCCCCCCCCCCAACCCCACCACCACCACCACCACCACCACCTTCCCCCACCGCCACGCCCACCACTCTCTCAACCACCCTCCCCACCCTCTCCCCAAGCCCCGCCCTCCCGTCCTCCTCCACTCCCCCGCCGCTGCAGTTCACGCCGTCCCTCGCGCCGTCGGTGGCCTCCGCGTAGAAGTTGTAGTTGTCGTAGCGCAGGAAGCAGCCGTCCAGGTAGATGCGCGCCGCCACCGATGGGAGGCACCGCGGCAGCTTCGTCCGGCTGGCCGCGTAGCAGAGGAGACAGTCCGTGTGCGACATGTCGCCGAAGCATTGCGCGAACCCAAATATGGGAATAACTGATGACGATGACGATGAAGATGATGAAGATGATGATGATGATGATGATGATGGTGATGGTGATGGTGATGCGTTGATGGAGTGCATGCCCCAGTTGCTACTCGCCACCTTCTGCGAGAGCTTCTCCATTTCGTTGATGAAGCTTGGGATGTAGTTCGCCTTCAGAGGCGCCTTCGTTGTGCCGCAGTACAGTCCCGCTTCCGTGATTCGTGGATCCGAGACTGCAACTGAGAAAAACGAGGTGAAGATCAAGACAACCCATGATGAGTACATCAACATGTTTTTGGCAATTCCCTTGCTGGGTTTGCTTTGCTGTACTGTTATTGCTTAACTACTTTTTTGTGTGTAGGTGGGACTTGGATGTTGTTATTATTATTATTATTATTATAACAACGTGTTCTTTCTTCCTACCTCTGTTAGAGAGTATGGAGAAAACAGAGTTATTACAGTTGGTAACTTCAAACTTCAAATTTCTTTGTTCATGTATTTCCCATATTTGTGGAGTGGTGAACTAGTACTGTGTTCGTGCCTAAATCTTCTGCTGTGTGATCATGACTGATGACATAAAATAAAAATATTAAATCACTTTTTATAGAGGTTTCTTTTCTCGTGCACTTTTAAGTACGAATTGGGTTTTTTGAATTTCCTGGACTTAAAAGACAATAATTTTGCAGTTTTATTATTTAATAATTGGCGTCATAGGTTTTACTATAACAATGTTTGTTTGTATAGGCGACGTTTCTTATTTTTTTCTTAATAATTGTAGGGTTTATTACTTTATTTTATGATTTTAAAGAGTGCGTTATTCGAAGGAAATTTATTATTCTCCTCGGGCAGTTTATTTAACAGAAAATAATAAAAAAATTGTATTTAGTTCTCATTGTGCGTGAAAACCTTTGGAGTTAATTATAGTCATCAAATTCAGTGAATTAGGAATACTCATAAAAGGAAAAAAAAATAAGTTTATTAAAAAATAAATTTCAAGTGGCATTACAAAATTAAACAATTCTAATAGTGTAATTTACGATTTCCATAAAAAGTAATATTTTCTACTTATGGATATTTCGTATAATGTTATATATGGTAATCAAATAAATAGAAGATAAGATGAAATAAAATTAAGCAACTCTATCATTATTGCACCAATAAAATGTTTTATGTGCATTGTTCTTATCGAAAATCTGCTGTAGAGATGATCTGTCGAGTAAGATTGGTGAGCCTCCTTCACTGGTACGTTGGTATTCCAAGATGGGGGTGGTACCTGCAAAAGAGACTCCGATGCTAAAGTTAGGGTTTGTATGAGTATGAGTCTCGTATAAATAATGCACGTACCTTAGTGTAAATTAGGGTTGCTTTGGGCCTTGGGCCTGAGATGAGATATGATAAGATTAGATAATGGATCCCGTCTGGAGCGAGATTCCCTGAGATCAGTTATGATCTACTTAAATGCCGAGCTGACGTCGCGTAGCGCGTGTCCGAGGTCATCTTGCGCTGTGATACCGAGCTCGGAGCTCGGTCTCGCAGTACGGATAGTACACTAGCCCCCCGAGCTCCGAAGATCGTAGGTCGAGGAGTTAAGACCGAGCTTGCTGGAGGGAAGTGACCTTTCGCGTACGTTGGCCTGTCAGGATGCCATGTGTCATAACTGTCGCTTCCCATTTCGATGATCGAGGCTGGCGCGTTAATGGGCGCGACGGTTATGCAATGATGGCTTCATTTAATGCGTGATCAGGTGTGTCCCCTGGCTGACACGTGTCGTGGCTGTTTGAATTTTGGAAAACCCCTTTTGCTCTTACTCGCGCCCCTTCCCCTTCCACTTTACTCTTTTCGCTCTCTTTCTCCTTTTTAGTTTCTTGTGCAAGCTGCTTCGTGCACCTTCGCTTCCGTTCAGTTTCCGTCGCTGTTTCCGGCAACTGGGTTTCGCCTCTTCCTATTCATTCTTTCTTTTGTCAAAGGGGTACCAGGTACTTCGATTTCTCTGTTCTCTCTCATTTCTCCCATCTTCTCCTTCTTCGAGTCTTTTTGCTTTCTCGATGGGTAGAGAGAGTGGTGCCGAGTCTTCTGCGCTTGCTAGGGGTAGGGGTAGGGGGCGCGGCAAGGCGACGGTTTGCTGGAAAGGCCGCCGCTGAGAAGAGTGATCCGCCTAAGGATCTAGAGCCAGGGGTTCCTGGTTACGATTGGGTCAAACGCGATGTGGCCGGGGTCCAAAGTGTGCTCCGGTCGTTCCTTGAGGTCAACGCGATTTAGAAGACACACCGGATTTTTGACCCTTCCGTTTCTCGGATGATCCGGCTTGAACCCTGTCGGGCCGGTGAGGGTGTGTATATGGGGAGGTCCACTGACCCTCCCCATTTCTATATGTACCAGTTTTTCTTCAGGGACTTGGGTGTCCGTCTTCCCTTCACTCAGTTTGAGTGTGATTTTTTGGACTTCATCAACTCGGCTCCTTGCCAGTTGCACCCCAACAGTTGGGGTTTTTTGCTGGCTTTTCAAGTCCTTTGTACAGTTCTAGGGATAGAGGTGTCTCTTCCCGTCTTTCTTCATTTTTATCAGCTGAAGCTGGGCGTTCCTCCTTACGGCATATTGTCTTTGAATGGGGGTAGGGATGGGGGTTTGTTCACTCTCTACTCCCAGTCATACAAAAATTTTAAACAAGAGTTTTTCCGGGTTGCCCTTGTGGATGTCGACCCGATGGAGGATGGGGCATTCTACTTTGGCGGGTTGCCGAAGTTCCTTCTATTGGTGCCCCAAACTGTCTAGGTTTCACGGGGAGGGCCAATTGCAATTGACGGCTGCGAAGCTGACCGCCATTGAAGATCTTAAGGCGCTCCCTCGGCCACTGGATTGCAAGCTCATCCTGTCGCTCGAGAACTCGGCGCACAGGGAGAGGGGCCTGGAGAGTGAGTATCTTGTGTTTTGGTAGTTTGTTAGGGTTTGTGTCATGTTCCTTTGCTGATGTGTTTTGTTTACTGTTTGCAGGCATCATGGGGAAGAACTTGTGGCGTAAGCTGAAGCATCGCTACAATGTTACCGAGCTCGAGGTGCCCGAGCCTCAAGAGGAGGAGGGTTCCCCCCTAAGGTCAACCGAAAAAGAAAGAGGGGCGTGAAAGTGGTCGGGGGAACCTCTGCCCCTCGCGAAACGGAGGAGGTTACCTCCAAGGCTGCTGATGCCGAGGCGGTGGACTTGACCGGGAGTCCCCTGCCCGAGGGGGCTCCTCCAGTGGCCACTGAGGAGATGGCTCGGGTCGTTGAGCATGTTGCTCAGGCTGCCAAGGTGGCGACTCCGGCTGCTGAGCAGGTTGCTCCCTCCACCGAGGTAAGTGTCTTATTTTCTTCAACATTTCTACTGTGTTGATTTTGCTCACTTTGTTGAGGCGATGCGGCTTTTTGCAGGTCGGGATAGCTACCGAGGTAGGAGCCCAGGTTGCTGAGCGCGTCGTCCGGGCGGCTGTGGTGAGTGTTTCTCTTTTCGACTTTCTTTTTACCTTACGTGTTGTTCTTGTGTCTTTTGACATGGGGCCGCTTTTTCCAGGCAGGGGGCGTTGCTGGGATCTCGGTGCCCCTGAGGTCGGAGGTGGCCGGCGTGGATCCTCCTATTGTCGAGCAGGGGGCGTCTGCCCCTGCTTCTGTTGAAGCTCGCGGGAAGGGGCCAAGCTCTGAAGTTCCGATGCCCACCCCAGTGGCGTCGGTGCCGTCAACTGGCCTGTCGAAGGGGCCTCCCAGAACCTAGTACCTCGCCCAGCGCTACCACAAGGGGGACGCAGTGGTGAGGTTGGATCATTTGAGTGCCTCGGAGGACATTGATTCTTGGTGGAGCGCTAGGGTGACTGCAGCTAATTTTTTTCTTGAAGGGTCACTGAGCACGGCTGATCAAGCTATGATCGAGTCGGCCGGGCTTGTGGAAGGTCTAGATGCTGCCCAGGTTCTCCTGTAGAAGGGGGTGGCCATCATGGACTATTGGAAGCATAAATGGTCCAGGCAGCAGGAGGACCTGGCGAGGTTGAAGGGCCGAGTTCAGCCTTTGAGAGAGGAGAATAAGGCCCTGAAGGAGGAGAATAAAGTTCTAGGGGCCGCTGTTGGCGAGGCGAAATTGCAGGGGGCTGAGCTTCGAGCTGCTATGGGTGACCTTGCGAGGGTGCAGAAGTCTCTCGAGATCGCCCTACGATCCAATGAGGCTTATGCCTCCCAGGTGGGTGAGTTGCAGGAGCTCGCCGCCTCCTCCCGAGGTCGTGTATGCTCTTTAGAGGATGAGGTGACATCTTCCCATGGCCGAGTGCAGGCTTTAGAGGATGTCGTGACTTCTCTGAAGGGAGAGCTGGCGGCGGCGGCTGAGAAGCGTCTCTGTGACGAGGTTCTTCTTGGTGGAAAAGAGGAGGAGGTCGCCTCTTTGAAAGTGGAGCTGGCGAAGCTGGAGGAAGCCAAGGCGAGGTTGGAGAGGAAGCTCGAGGATACCGAGAAGGCTGTTGTCTTTGAGCATAAGAGGGGTTTCCTCAAGGCCGCCCACCAGGCTAGGCTCCTCGCGCCGGGGTTTGACTTCTCTGCGATGCACGTGGAGAAGGTTGTCCGCTTTGGGAGGCTGTTAAAGGAGGATGACGTCGAGGACAGCTCCAGTGACAATGCCTCTGCGTAGGCCAATTTTGTAATAGCCTTGTTTAACTTTTCCTTGCTTTAATTTTCTGTTTTGAATTCAAGTGTTGAACTCTGGGAACTTTGCTTGTATATATATATTTTTGCCTTTATGTCTTGGCTCTGCTTGTGCTGTTTGCGCGTTTTGAGACATACGTTCGATGTTTGTTGTGTGCTCTTATACTTGGTGATATTTTTCCTTGAGTTGATCACGCCGAGGTTCGAATTCGACCCCAGTTTTAAGTAGTTTCTGTGCAGGTTCGGGCTCGACCTTAATCAAACCGGGGTTCGAACTTGACCTTAGGTTTAAGTAATTTTTGTGAAGGTTCGGATTCGACCTTAATCAAACCGAGGTTCGAACTCGACCTCAGGTTTAAGTATTTTTTGTGAAGGTTCGGATTCGACCTTAATCAAACCGAGGTTCGAACTCGACCTCAGGTTTAAGTATTTTTTGTGAAGGTTCGGACTCGACCTTAATCAAACCGAGGTTCGAACTCGACCTCAGGTTTAAGTATTTTTTGTGAAGGTTCGGATTCGACCTTAATCAAACCGAGGTTCGAACTCGACCTCAGGTTTAAGTATTTTTTGTGAAGGTTCGGACTCGACCTTAAATTTTTGTTTAGTAGCACGTTGTGAAGGTTCGAACTCGACCTTGAGTGGGGGCGAAATAAATTGGTTTGAACTCGACCTCCATTTATTGTAAAACGTAAAATAATGTGAAAAAGATGTGAGTTGAATATAATGAGTCATTTTATTGATTATATAAATGTGCCTCGTTAAAAACCCTCTCAGCCAAAACCCATTTTTCTATTTTTTGGGACAAAAGGCTGAGGCGGGAAAAGAGTGCACAACTCAT